CTGTGGTGAATGATATCTATTTTTGGATAATAATAGCTTCTAGTATTATACTAAATTAAATATCATTCACCATAGGAGATAATATTTTGAAGTACATATGATATAATTAATGGACACTTATATTAGTAATATAAAATAAAACAAATAAATTGCATTCTTTTTGTGTGTCTTCATTCCCAGTGGGTATTACACATGGCATCATGCTAGACCATTTCAAACTTTCAACTTCCCAAAGAATACCAGGATGTAGACAAAAGAATTTGAACTACCATACAGACACCACACTGGTTCTTCATAATGACTGTGATAGTCAAAAGTACTTGAACAAAAATAACAATATGAACTTAGGACAGTTTATCCATAACTACATGCATAGTACTCAAAACCTTATCTGGGGAAGAAGATAATAAAAAAAAAAAAAGAAAAAAAAAAGAGAGTTAAGCAGACCTTGTCATTTCTCTTTAATCAAACTTATTTTGATGAATACTTGCTGCCTAAATATTACCTTTTATTTATCATCTTTGGTTGCTTGGTGTTTGTTTGCATTTGTAAAAACAATGCACTAGATTTAGCTGATTTGTTCTGTTGAGTGAATATGGCTCAGTGATAGAAGCTTCAACTGACATCAAATCGGTTGGGTTTCAATCCGCACTTGAGACATTTGGTTGTCTAGTCACACTGAAGAGCTGTGATACAGTAAAACAGTACTGTGTGCAAATGATATATATATATATATATATATATATATATATATATAAAAGAACATTAGTCTTAGTGGATACATGTATTTGAGTAAATGCACTGTTTTTATCTTAAATAGTGTTTATTTCATCTAATGGCCTGCAGCATTGGGAAAACTTATTAAAGAAAATGTGCCCTCCAGCAGGATTTGAACCTGTGTCTTTCTTTTCAGATGTGACCATCTGATCCACCATGCTTTGAATGCTTGGCTCCGGAGAGCTTCATAATCAAACAAGGTTCTCTTTTCCTTTAAAGCACATTCACTCTTTCAGATTTTCTCAAAAGGCATATCTGCTCAGTTTCATAGTCAAAATGTAAACAAAGCAATTTCTAAAGAATTAATGTTTTTTTATTTTTTAATACAATATGTTTTTATTACTTCAAATCTTACAAATACTTGTTATTCTCCCTTTGACAACATCAGTTATTTTTCAACAGCTTTTGAAGAGTTCAAGGGAATGATTAATGTGACACTGAGCTGTTGGCCCGTGGTCAACTTTCAATTGCGGTGCAAAACTGTAATATTTCTCTTACCAGCGTTTTGGGGTTGACTCTTAGTCACTGCCAGCAGCCTGTGTTCCGGTCGATTGGTGGTCATCGCTACCTGGCAGAATCCTTTGGTTAGGGTACCAGGTGGGATGGTCGGTTGATGCTAACAGCTTCACACCAGCTGCAACCGGTTTGACACTAGCTCCGTCATTCCAGCTCACTTCCAACATCTGGTTACTGAAGTAACTACTTCGATCTCAAGTCTAACCTACCCTCTTTGTGATTTTGATCTTAGGTAGACGAGATCAATCAGGCATCAGGTCATAGTGTAAGATGAGTCTAACTGGAGGTGATATTGCACAAGCGTAAAGAAAAGAAGCAAATAAAAACCTAAGAGGTTCAAGTATGTTAAAAGTAACAAATTAACTTTTATCTGTCTGTTATATACAGGAGTGGGTTTTTTTTCTCCCAGCCCTTTTTCTACGGAGTGTGACACTTTTATGCTTCTTAGGCAAGTTCTGGTCCTCTAAGTCAATTGGTTTAGTTGTTTAAGTGCTGGCTTAGCTTTGTTCGTCAGTATAACTTGCTATTGGTAGAATAGGTGGAGTCGGTAGTTGTGGAATCTCTCGGATCAGCATCTGCGAGGCAACATTGGTTCCTGCAACTCCAAAGGCTCTAACAGGCGAACTACTATTGATTGGCCCGAGGACATTCGTTTATATGGATACTAACCAAAAACCAGTGCAGGGTTAGATGCAGTCTGGGGTTTTCAGTGAATCCCGATTTCTGACAAGAAACATCTTTGTTGTCAGTCCAGGAAAATTGATTACTTCCCATTTTGGAAAATTAATCACTTTCCATTTGGGGGGGGGATCCCTTCATCCATAAGAAGAGGTTGGAGGAGAGCTATCCTCGTAAACTCTCCCCTTCTCACATTTATACCTCGTTAATAAATGGTGGGCGTTAATAAATTACTTGTCTTTCTCATCAAATTACCTCTGTCTATCACCATTGCTACCACTCAACCAATGGCATCCTGGCCGTGTGGTCATGGCTAAGCTAGCCTCATTAAAATTATAACCCAGAATTTTTTTTGTTTACAAAATTCTTTTTCCCATTGGCCAAATTTTTTACAAATCTCACATGGCCACTTAAAATCTCTCAGATCTTTTGGTCACTCTGTGTCTTCATAACCAGCACTTTTTACAAACTCCATCAATCAATTCTCAAAGTCTGCCATCTGGTCCCTTCATGAAGTTACCGTTTACTGGAACCTTTGGCTTCTTAAGAAAAAATAAATAAATTGATAATAAATTTTTTTTTATCTCCAAACTGGCAATTCTTCTGAGATATTTTTCTCATACCAAAACTTTTTATAATTACCATATGGCCATGCCTTGCCAGCACAAGATGATATCTGGTTTTTGGGTTTTTCGTTAATCAGTACTTTTACAAATAGCATTAATCAATTGTCAAAAGCTCGCATATGGCCTTTTTGTGAGTCCACTGTTTACACCAATTCTTGGGTTTTTGAGAAAAGTAATCCAATCTTATTTTTAATGAAAAAAATAAAAATCTCTGTATCTTCTTTTCTGTTCTCAGTATTTTCTTGTGTATTTTTTATGGTTAATTAGTTAACTAATTACCATAGCTAAATAGTGTCACATGAAGTTAATCACCTCAAGTCTGTTAATCCCTATCTTTTGACAGTTATTCTTGTGATTCATTTATGAGTCGAGAATGTAAAATTCATTGCCTATTTAGGCTACTGGAATCAACAAGAATTGGGCAGTCAAATAAGAATAAATTAACTGTTGTCCAAACAAAGTGATTTATTGTAATTTTTTTTGATTCTAAAAGAACAAAAGTACAAGATGATGACTAGAGATAGATTAGTAAAATGGATACACTGATGATAATGTCAGTCACAAAAAAAAGATTTTTGGTTTTGATAACAATAGAAAATTACTTGCATGTAGTGGATAGTGGCTTGGATTGAGGAATTGGAGAGCTGAGTTCGAATTCCAGTCGAATCCGTTACATTTACTTATGTGCTAATACCATTAGGGAAGTTATTAATCCTCTTCTTCTCCCTCCAGGTAGGGGTAAATAGCAGGACAGAATTGGTTCTATAGCCTTGGATGGCAACTGGTCTAGGAGGAGGACAACTTTGAATTCAAAACCTGCAGAGGGTCGTTTGGAGATCTTGTGGCATGTAGTGCCAGGTGTCTGTATTCGGCCCTTCAAAAAGTGTGATTGGTTCTGCATAAAGCCTTCACCACTATAATCAAATCATATAAGCTGGTGTCTAGGCTGTCGGTTCCTAGGAACTGAGCTGCTTGACCCTTGTACATTGAATACGATGAGAGAGCCCACCATACATACACACATATATATATATATATATATATATATATATATATATATATAATTTCATTAAAAATTATTAACAAGGTACTGTGGTTAAGTTATTTTATTTTTTGTGTTATAATTTTCTTCTTTTCTACTATTATCTATATGTAAAAAGAATGGCTAATAATACTGGAAGCATTATTAATAAAAAAAAAAAAGAAGCCAACACTCAATAATATCAACTATGAACACAGCCACAGTGTGCTGACCATGTTTGGAAAATAAAACTCTAGATACATACATAAAACAATCCATACATTCAGTTAAAAGTAAAAATAAAATCTTCCTTGATAATGGCCAAAAGTGCTCAGATATACAAAACACTTGGACTATTTCTACATAATTTACATCCAGAGAAGAAAATTATAATACAAGAAAAAGTAAATAAAATATCTATGCATGCTTAGGCAGCAAGAATTCATTTAATTGTTTCATTGAATTTAACTGACAAGGTTTGTTTAATTTTCCTACTACATTTTTCTATTTTCCATGTAAGTAGTTGAACATACAGATTAAAATTTATATATTAATTTACCCATGCTATCAAAATAATATATTTCTGTTCAGTCTTTAATCTAAGAGGGTTTTCACATGCAAAACTTTAAAAAAATTATATAGCAGATATAAGAATCAATACTATCAGTTTTACATCTCAATGTGATCTTCATACTAAAGATTGCAGAGGTGTGAAACTGACAATCACCATACAATGTTCTTTCCTATATCTACAGTCTATACTATTAAGCACTCTATCTTTGATATTGAGCGATCTTCCTTTATAAATATAGCATATTTAAACATTGTATGTATTTGTTTTTTTTATGTTAGTTCTTGTACTCTGCTTTTTCAGTTTTTTTCATCTTCCAGCTTTGTAAACATCATCAAACAGCTTGCCATTGTCATCAGTAAAAAGGAGAACTCCTGTTTCTCTTTTACTGACAACATTCTGTTAGAAACATTACAGACATATATAGCTAAATACATTTGGTATTTTGCATAGTATAAATTTTGTCTATAATAAAACTTAGATGTGTACATGTATGTGTAGTGTACATTGTGTGATTTGTATAACACGATCTTGTGTGAGTTTGCACACATGCACATATATATATATATATATATATATATATATATATATATATATATATATATATATATACGCATTTACACTTCATTATACCTGTTGTGTACCAGCTATCACTTTGCAAGTTCTCCAAATGGAAATTTATTAATTAAAAAGGAAAAGTTCCAATCTTGTTAATTAGATATGTGGAAAAGTCAAAAATTGATTGGTTTTATTTTTCTAATCCCGCCTTGTCTGGCAACTTGCCTCAAGTACTTATCTTTTTCTCTTTCAGATTATTCGAGAACAATACTCAGAGGATCCAGCCCACTACAACAAAGCCTGCAATGACTTGGAACAGCTTCGACAAGTAGGTTCAGTTGCTCCTTTCACAACCTCCCTCAGCTACTTGCTTTCTGCTCTTGACCATCAATCAATAGGCCATCTTATTAGTAGTGTATCTGTAGATTGATTATTTATTATTTTTAACTAATTACAGTATATTATCATCCTCCATTTTTACGTTGCATGTTGGCAAACTGATTGGAAGAAAATTGTTTAACCAGCCATTCACCCCTCCTTTTTTTTACCTATGTATGTATGTATATATATATATATAGTGTGTGTGTGTGTATGTATATATATATATATATATATATATATATATATATATATATAAAAATAGCCTAAAAGCTTCCCTATTGGGCAGAATTTAAGCTAACTCCTGCAGAGGGCATTTGATTAAGCCTTCATTGCAATAGGTAAGGAGGAGTAGATGTGATAGGCAGCAATAAACTACAGAAGAACTCAAAACTGATTGCTGCATTTAAGTATTGTATTAATACTTAAATTTATCTTTTAAAAGTTCAATGATAATTCTTCTGCCGCCACTTAATCTAAAAACAATTTGATGTGTGTAGGTCCTAATTTTCTGCATAAACAATTATATTTATTTCGTTGATGACTTTCACTGGATTTCGCAATTAATTTTGATTATTCCCAAATTTATTTCCAAGTTGTGAAAGTTGTTATTGTACAAAAAAAATTAATTGCAATAAATCACATAAAAAAACAAAAAAAAAAACACAGAAAAGAGTAATAAAAACTTGAATCTAAAATTCCAGGATTGTGAGTCCAGATCTGGCCCAAAATGTTCTTAATTTGCTCATGGCGTCTCCCTGATTCCATAATGGTATGAAATACTGGACTACGGCCTCTAGGAGTAAAGTTGAAATACTGTGACACAATGACAGACTGACATTCACACGTATGTATGTGTGTGTGTATATAATATATATATATATATATATATGTGTGTGTGTGTGTCTACTGGCTTTTATTTTTCATCCTATTAGAGATAAGATTTATTAAACAACAATAAATCCATCAAAATTTTCATTATCTCTAAGGATTCCATTTCTAGTGATATAGCAAATACTAAAATAGGGTACTTCCACTTTTTCGTTAAAAACAGCATAGTATGATGAAAAAAAGGCACCAAACTTAATAAAACCAACTTTTATCATCAAAATGTTTGTCATTATTAAGAGGAAAGCCCAAAGTATTTTTAATTACTTTTTTAATTTTCTAACACCTGCAAAATTTGGAGAATTTAAATCATCTAGTTTTAAATTTTTTTTTTTTTTTTTCAAACAGTTACTTTTCTGAAAATCTGCTCTGAATAGTAAAATAAAAACTGTAATAAAACTAAGTAATAAGCTTTCAATTGCTTTTATAAATAATATATATTTAGGCACATTAAAGTCTGAAGAAAAAATGTTTTTCAATGAATGATGAATTTTTACAAGAATTGTTTTTATTTTTTTAATAACTTATAAAGTTTCAAAACTTTGATCTTGTTAGGTTATTAAGTGAAGACTATATTTACGAAGTGAAAGTTGAAAAGCTTAATACAAATCATCATACACTAAGATTTTTAAAGTAACTTTTTATTTTTTCTATGTGTGTATAAATGTGTCTATTTTGAAAGTATAGATGACCCTACCCAACATTATCAGAAAATAAGATTGATGACTATAGTAAATTTAAAGTCAACATTCCTAAAATTAGATTATGGAGAATATTTCCAACATTTTTAAGATTACTGAGTACTTAAAAATTATATATATAAAAAAAAAGTGTTTACCCGTCATTTTCTTAAATTATGTTTTAACAGATAGTCTCTGTAAAACAACAATAAATCTGTCAACATCTTCAGAAGTATTTGTCAAACATTTAATCACCACTACTGTTGGTTTTAAAAATTCATTTCTCTCTTATTTTCAACTTAAAGTAAATATTTATTTCAAATCAGATTAATTATACTTTAAATAAGGTAATATTCCTCAAATAAAGTCTCAGAAAAGTATATTTTATTTTTGGAAAATTTTTCTAATAAAGAGAATTAAATTGTAATGAAAGACTGTTAAAAACTGGCACTAATCAGCTATTTTTAAAAAAAACAAAACACCATTCAATATAATTTCTTTTTGAATTTTTTTATTATTTTATTATGCCTCTTGATTCCTTGGGGAACAAAGGCTGCAACAACACGTCTCCAATGGATGTGGTTCCGGGCAATTCTCTTCAGCTTGGCCCATGTCATGTCGGCTGCCTTCACCTCAATGTCAACACTTCTGTGCCAAGTCTGTTTTGATCAACCAACATTTTCGTTTCCCTTGTGGATTCCAGTCAAGGGTCTGCCTGGTGACACTAGAAGCAGGCTTGCGGAGTGTGTGGCTGATACATCCCCATCTCTGTTTCTTGATGTCAATATTGATTGGGGGTTGTCTCATTCTGTCCCACACTTGGTCATTGGAGATAACTTTCAGCCACCTGACATTGAGGATATTCCTGAGACATCAGTTGGTAAATGTCTGAAGTTTGTGGGAGTTGGTCTTGGTTACCCGCCAGATTTCTGAGCCATAATATAGAACTGACTTGACTTTGGTGTTGAAGATCCAGATGGACTTTGTTGTAAAATGATCTCTAGATTGGCTGCAGAGTGTTGAAAACATGTTGGGCTTTGTTGATTCAGCACTTGGTATCTTCATCTGTCCCTACATCTTTACTGATGACATTTCCCAGATAGACAAACTTATTGACTTATCTGTCATCAAGCAACAACCGGAGAGGCATTATGCTGCTGTCCATCCAAGGGAAAGTACTGGCAAGAATCATCCTAGCGAGACTGAAGACAGCATTGGACAAGACACTTTAGGAAGAACAGGTTTTCGGCAAGATAGACCATGCACAAACCACATTGCCACAATGTGCATCATCATCAAACAGTCCCTGGAATGGCAGACCCCCGTGTACTCAGTTTTCGTTGACTTTCAGAGAGCTTTTGATAGTGTCAACAGAGACATCATCTGGAGACTGATGCTGCACTACGGCTTTCCACCAAGGTTTGTTACCATCATCCAACAGCTTTATGAAGATGTCCAACTTTCAAGTCATCCATGATGAGAAACTGACAGAACCATCCTCTGTGCAAACTGGTGTTTGTCAGGGATGTCTGCTGTCACCAACAATCTTTCTGCTGGTGGTTGACTGGATAATGCAGTAGGTCGTGGAAGGCAGGAGAACTGGTTTACAGTGGACTTGCATCAAGCAGCTGCAAGATCTGGACTATGCAAATGACATCAGCCTTCTCTCCTACAAACAACTAGATGCACCAGAGAAGCTGAGTCATGTTGCAGAAGAAGCAGAGAAGACTGGCCTCCAAATCAACATTGCGAAGACGGAGGTCATGAGGGTAAACAACAGACAAGACCCAGTGCAACTACACCAAGAAAACATCAAGGAAGTCAATAAGTTTGTCTGTTTGAAATACACCAGAATATTTTACTTAATAAAAATAGTAAATTTAATCTTTTAGCTTTCAATTAAAGCTAAAATGAAAGCTTCAAGAAAGCTTTTTCATTTATAAAAAATCATTTTAAATCTGAGATATGGAGGTTTTAGTAGAGGTACCTAAGCATCTATAGAAATTGATTGCAAATGATTTTACTACAGGAACACATCAAAAATTATTTTAATACTATCTCTTTATGGAATCTGGAATATTATGGCTAGCATTTATTAAACAAATCCATTCAAACTTTCATTCATTCTAATGATTCCATATCTAGTGGCATAACAAATACTAAAAGCATCTATAGGAATGTGTTGGAAATGATTTTTACCATAGGAATACATTGGAAATGATTTTGATACTATCTCTATATGTAATCTGGGATATAGAAATATTTTGATGCTATCTCTATATGTAATCTGGGATATAGAAATATTTTGATGCTATCTCTATATGTAATCTGGGATATAGAAATATTTTGATGCTATCTCTATATGTAATCTGGGATATAGAAATATTTTGATGCTATCTCTATATGTAATCTGGGATATAGAAATATTTTGATGCTATCTCTATATGTAATCTGGGATATAGAAATATTTTGATGCTATCTCTATATGTAATCTGGGATATAGAAATATTTTGATACTATCTCTATATGTAATCTGGGATATAGAAATATTTCATCTATATCTATTTGAACATAGCAGATACTACAGGTATATATAGAATTTAATGAAAATATTTTTATTATAGAAATTTATTGTAAATGATGTTGTGACTAGCTATTTAAATAATTTGTGAAATCTTTTGGTAGCATTTATTAAATATATTGTTACGTATTTATAATTGTAACAAAAGAAAAAAAAATGATTTACCACAACACAGAGCTAAATCACAAACAAATATTTAATTTACTAAAACAGAACATAAAATATATACAGGATAAACAATTGTGGCCTACAAAACAGAAAACACAGAGTTACTGGTGGAGTGTTACGAGGAAGAAGGAAAGGGAATCAAATATCTTTATCACTTTTTAGGGCTAGTGAAGTAATCTAAGTGCTATATTTGGAAATCCACAAAGGTGTGTAAATAAATATTAATTTTTTGTTTGGTCAATGAAAATCAGTCAAAATTCTATTTACCAAATTTGTTCCATGAAATTCTCTTTTGGGTTTTGGTTGGTCAGCAACTTTTTATAAAGATTCTTTCGGCTGGATATAATAGTCCTTGAATCAAAAGCCGGAGTTGATAACAGCAGAAATTCTCATTCACCAACTGACAACCCTTTTCCAAAATCCCATTTTTATAGGGGCTAACACCTAATTTGCATATTTCTAGATGTTTCTCGAATATACTAGAATGATCTAGAATCTTCCAAACATTCTATTTCTAATTTCTCTATTTTACAACTACTTCATGAAGGAAAACTTTTTTGTAATAACAAGTAGAACTCAGTGGAATCCCTTATTATAGAAATGCATCCTCGTAACAATATTGAAACTTAAAAT